GTACATAACATCACCGTACCACCGCACACTGACGGAATCAACTCCCGTCGCTCCCGCGCACCCCACATGCCCCGGCCCTGCCTCTTTCCGCTTTGAGACCTACCGCATCCCTCGCCCGCCTGATGCACCCGTTCCGCCCTTCCTGGCCGCCCCGCAGGTTCAGCTGTCACTTGTCCCCCAGGTTGACTTCGCCGCAAACTGCCGCGTGCTGGCCGTGTGGTGCGAGACGGCCAAGGCCAACTTTGGTTCCGTCACCATCACGCCCATCGCCGCTCTGGGTGGCCGGAAGCTGCTGCAGGCAGCAGCGGTTGCGGAGGTGGCGGCGGCTGGCCTGGTCCGTTAGTCGGGCAGCACGAGCTTTGTTGCTGCAGCGCACGATTATACACGCCTGCGTCGTCCGCAACCACAGACGCAACATATATGGCTGCGCGTTTGTTTGGCGCAGGCCCTATTTGGGCTGCATCGATCCTCGCGTGATCAAACCGATCTGCTCCAAGCAATCCACAACATCAGGGATGACCTAATCTAATGCTGGCTGTCGGTTGGTTTCAATGCAGCCCCGGGGCTCTCTTCTGGGCCCAGAAGAGACTTTGTGCGGCTTATTACCTGGCAAGAAACGTCTTTGAGTGCGTGCGATGGTCCAAATAAGCACATCTCCTGAATCTTTTGTCTATTTGCTTGGCCACCACAATCTCAACCTGTAACTGTACAGGGTCTGCTCCATTTCCCAAGTTGACAAATAAACCTACCCCCAACAAGAAATGAAAACAGCAGTGGGTGTGTATGTGCGTGCGTGTCGCAATGTTAATTTGCCACGCCGCCGCCACAATAGGCCCGCACCCCAAGATGAAAATAATTATATTTAAGACTTACAGGTATCACCAGACGGCCGGTCTGCGGTCCGCCGCTGCTGCTCTCGCAGTCGCTGGGTCCTGGCAAGAAATGTGCAAGTCAAAGGCTGTACCCAAGTTAAGGACCAAAGGTGCCACAGAGCCTGCGGCAAGTCGTGGTCGAGCAGCAGGTCATGCAGTGCGCACGCAGTAACAGCCAACATCCACATATACACGCGTAATTGGTGCCGCCGTTCCTGGGGCCCCAGGAACGGCCCGGACTGTCGTGTGCACAATAGTGCAGGCCTCGTCACCGCGGATTGATTGCGTGGTGCGAGCCCGCCCTTTGGAAAACTTTTGCTCATGCCCGCTTAAACCTCTAAACCCTCCCAAGCATTGTTGCGCGTGCACCCGCCCTCGGCGGTCGCATGCCCACAACATGCTGATGGGCAAAGGTCGGGAGGGCTGGCAATGTCAGGCCTGGCGATTTGGAGCCGTGCACAGCTGAGGTGTCGTGATGTTATGGCACCAGAAATCGCAAAGAGTGTTGTACATAGTGGCCGCTATGCAACGTGGGGACCGCATCCATTCAGCACCCCAGCAGCCCCTCACTGTCATGATGGTACCGTACATATGATCCAACACTGGCGGCGGACCTCACCAGCAGCTGCGAGCGCAACTCGCGACTGTGACATATTTTGGTCCCGAATCTCCTCGGCCTTCCAGCGAATGAGTGCCACTGACAGCACGGAGCTGGCAGCTGCTGCTCGCTGGGTGGGTGGTGCCCGGATGGTGGGTCGCGGATTTGCAGTGCCTTCAAGGGCGACATTTCCGCTTCGATTGTCAATCGAAGTTATCACTGCCTTGTCGCTTGCAAACTACCCAGCGCCGCGCCCTCAACTATGCTTCAAAATGTGTGCGGCGCTGCGGTGGCAGCGGCTCTCTCTATGCTGCTTTTGGTGACCGCACCGCCGGGTGCGGCCGCCGCCACCACGCCAGCCTGTGCCTTTTCCGGCTTCACAGGAAAGCTATCCAACTTGGAGCACAACGTGAGAGGCGCCATGGGGTCGCCGGCCAACTGTGCTCGCTGAGTGACCCGCCTGCGCCAACGCCCACAGGCGTCACTGCCATCATCACTGTTATGAACCAACCCACTGCCTCGACGCGTCGACACCGCACCGCCCCACGTGCACACCGTACCAACCGCAAAATTATCAGGTGGCCGGGACGGTTACTGTCAACAACTGCTCATCTGTGACCGTCGACGGCTTCACGTGAGCCGCTCAGCGCCCGCCCCGCCGCCTGCCCCGCCTGCCCAAACTTCCTCGTCCGCCGAACCAAGGGGGGGCGGCCGATGCTTGTTGTTGGTTTGTTGGACATAATCAGCATGCTTCCCTGGGTGTTGCAGCACCCCCCTCCCCTCTTGTCAGCATACCCTTCCTTGCCTCAATCATCGCGCTTCTCGGGAAGTTGCGAGCGTTGGTCCCCTGTTGTCAGCTCTGGATGGCAAGCACACCACACTTGAAGCATCGCCCGACTTTGTGCGCGGGTTGTGAAAGCACCCTTCACTCCACACTCACGATCATGAAGTTCCACGCCCACCACCCCACCCACACCCCAACCTTCCTCCTGGCAGGTACGATGGCGCTGCTCCCGCGGCCTACTGGTGGTGCGCGAAGTCCAGCTCGCGCGCAGACCTGCTCGCCGGCTTCCGCGCGGCGCCGGCGCGCCTGACGCGTGCCTATAACGAGGAAAAGGTGCGCCCCGCAATCGCGGCTTTCGAGGTTGCAATATGCACTGCAGCTGTACGGGGGGGCGATCCGGTCAAACGAGGTGTGTGTGCAGGGCTTACTGTGCTAGCTGTTGATCCCAAGACACTCGCCAGCCAGCCGCCACATCATTGACACAATATGTGTACCCAGCACACCTGGGCGGCCTGCGCCTCAGGACATAGCCCGATCGCGTGCCACACACCAGTGCACGCTCCCCATGGCGCGCATTGCGACGCGCTGCTGTGATCCCAATCGCGCGGGATGCACCGCCACACCCTGACAGGGCCGAACACCATCACTCCCATGCATTCTGCACGCCCCTGAATGCCTCATTTCCCCTTTGCATACATCGGCGCTCACACCCCACACCCCTTGATGCGCCCGCTCCGCCCCTCCTGCCCTGTGCCCCCCCCCACCGTAGGTCCAGGTGGCGCTTGTCCCGCAGGCCGACTTCTCCACAAACTGCCGCGTGCTCGCCGTGTGGTGTGAGCAGTTCGCGGCCAACTTTGGTGACGTCACCATCACGCCCGCCGCCAAAAAGGCGCCGCCGGCTGCACCCCGCGCAACAACGGGCGCCGCCACGCCCGCGTGCGCCAACGGGGGGTTCAGCGGATTTGAGGGCGACCTGAGCACCCTAGAGCACCAGGTGCGAGGCGAGCACGGCCGCGCCGCGCCCCGCATCGGCGGGAAATGCTCGTACCAAACAAACGCGCGGCGCTCCGATGGCTGGGAGCTCCGCTCGATGGCTGCCATCTCCAGCGC